CACACAGTTTGGCTTCTGCAAAGGACTAGGCACAAGAGAAGCAATCTTCTGTCTACAGATACTACTACAGCGATGCTACGAACATCAGAAAGAAGTGTGCATCTGCTTCATAGATTACGAGAAAGCCTTTGACTCAGTCGACCACGACCGACTAGCAGCTCTATTAAAACAACTGGGACTAGATAAAAACGACATCAACTTCATCATTGCTCTTTATTGGAAGCAAACAGCCCAACTCCGATATGACAACGAATTGACAGACCCAACACCAATACAAAAAGGTGTACGACAAGGCTGCCCACTTTCACCCAGTCTTTTCAACATCTACTCGGAGCAGATTTTTGATCGAACACTAGCAGATAAAAACATTGGTATTAAAGTCAATGGACAATACATCAACATCAGGTATGCCGACGACACTGCACTGCTGGCCGATTCGGAACAAGACCTACAACAAATCTTGGACGAGGTTGCCACAGAGAGTCAGATATGGGGCTTACGAATTAATAAAAAGAAAACAAAGGTTATGAAGGTCAGCCGAACTACAAGCGAAATAACAATCAAGCTTGGCAGCGAAAAATTGGAACAAGTACACCGATTTAAATACCTTGGTGTAATCATTGACGATCAGTTGAACCATGAAGTCGAAATCAAGAGCAGAATTGAACAAGCAAGGCAAGCAAAACACTCATTGCAGACCGCAACTTGAGTACATCACTGAAACTGCGCACACTGAAATGCTACATCTGGTCAATTTTGCTGTACGGAGTAGAGACGTGGACACTGACAACAACAGCAACAAAAAGGCTCAAAGCTTTCGAGATGTGGCTGTATCGAAGAATGCTGAAAATCCCATGGACAGCCAAAACCACCAATACACAAGTTCTGCAAGATATGGGCACTGACAGGCAACTGCTGAAGACCATCATTAGCAGGAAGTGTTACTACCTATGCCACATTGCCCGAAACGACCACAAATACCAGCTATTAAAGCAAATCCTGGAAGGAAAAATCGAAGGGAAAAAACGACCAGGACGGCCAAAAACGACATGGCTCAGTAACATCAAAACATGGCTACAATTAACAACAGCACAAACTCTACACGCCGTGCTAGACCGGGACCAATATCATCGTGAAGTCGCACACGCCATTAGGCAGCACTAAAGAAGAAAGCTATTTATGAAGGACTGGATGAACTAGTAGGGCTGCTAGACAAATTATCGGAGGACGTAACTATGACGCCTGAAACCAGAAGTGATGCAGAACATAGTAATAGGTTTTTACCCTTTCAACTGGTACCTTTATACAAGGCATCATGTTTGCAATAACCACAACACAAGCAGTCAAAATGCAAATAAAAAGATATAACTCTGATGATGATAATGATATGCACTGTCCTTGAAGTTGATTGGTCCACACCCGAGACAGCTTTCCTTAGAGCCTAGTCTCCATTGGTGTTGGACCAGATGACGCCAAAAGGCGTACAACTCAAAGACAGCGCACTATCAGAGTATTGAGAACTCGGGGTAGGCATTTACACTATGAGACCTCCTTTACCGGTGGCAAAATATAGTAATAGGTTTTTACCCTTTCAACTGGTATAAAAAACTGACACCTTTATACAAGGCATCATGTTTGCAATAACCACAACACAAGCAGTCAAAATGCAAACAAAAAGAAACAACTCTGATCATGATAATGATATGCACTGTCCTTGAAGTTGATTGTTCTTTTTGTTTGCATTTTGACTTCTTGTGTTGTGGTTATTGCAAACATGACGCCTTGTATAAAGGTGTCAGTTTGTTGTACCAGTGGAAAGGGTAAAAACCTATTACTATATTTTGCCACTGGTAGAGGAGGTCTCATAGTGATGCAGAACAGTTATAGGCATGCGTATTAAATTTTAACTTCATAGTTTTATTACATTTCTGGAATGTCATTCTTGGAAAATTTGATCGTGTTCAGAAACGCTTACAGGATCCTACTATGAATTTCAAGGAAGCAGCAACTGATCTTGAATCTTTGGAGCATGAATTTGTCAAGCTTCGTGATGATTTGAGCCAAGTTGCTGTAGAAAACGCCAAAACAAGATGCACAGCCTGGGGGATCGATGTGGACAGAAGAATTAGGCGACGTCGGAAGATGCCAGGAAAACTGGCAAGAGATACAGGACTTTCAGCAGCAGAAGAAATTGTGCGCGTTATGAAGAGCGTATTTGATCGACTTCAACAGGAGATGTCTACACGGTTTTTACGACTAAAAGACCTGAACACAAAATTTTGATTTCTGCTGGACGTCAAAACTCTTCTATCCGACACAGATGTCGATGCAATTCGTCGAAATTGCACAAATTTTGGAAATTTCTATGACACCGACATCAATGGCCACGAACTTTTCACAGAAATTGGAGATTGCAAAATGCTGCTCAGTAACCGGAATGAAGTTTTACCAGAAACTCCTTTGGATCTTCTTGGTTTTATTGTGTTTTATGGAAACGACATATTTCCGAATTTCACTGCAAATTTGATTAACAATAGCAGTTTCAATTGCAAGCTGTGAGCGGTCGTTCAGCAAATTGAAACTTATTTTGTCGTATTTGCGTGCTTCAATGGGACAAGATCGTCTCAGCGATCTTGCTCTTCTTAGCGTTGAAAGATAAACATTGGAAAAAACAGATTTTGATTACGTGATTGACCAGTTTGCGACAGTGAAATCAAGAAAAATGTATCTTTTGTAGACTATGTCAACCAGTCTACGACAGTGACTGAGTGAGCCATGTAATATAATTTCTATAAATTTGCTTCTTTAAATACGTTGAATTAAAATTTAAATTGTTATTCCTTATTCGATGTAATAGGAAAATGTGATTAAACGGGGGGGGGGGGGGGGGGTGCCAATTTTATAGTTCGTCCCCAGGCGCAAAATATCCTAGCTACGCCTCTGCGTGTTCGCGAATACAAGGCAGATTTGAAACACGGCAGAACCAACACCTCTGCCGTGGCTGATCACTGTTTTAACGCGGTGGGCTCACGTGATATTGTGTTTTCCGTGACCAAGGTACTTTGCAAACTTTTGGGCTACCATCAAAGATTTATCCATGAAGCCATCCAGAAATATAAACACAGACACAATTTCAACCGAGAATATGGGTACAAACTGAGCAATCATTGGAAGCACGTTATTAACCAGTTTAGTTCATAACTGGCTGTGATGTCCTCTTCCTGCCCGCCTATGTTAGCAGTTTCTCTTGGCTCTCTGAGTCACATTCACGAGCACAGCTTTGGTCTCCCCCTGCTACCGTTTATCTATGCCCCACCCCCTCTCCTCCTGCTGCCCCCCCCTCTCTCTCCCCCTGGCGCTCGCGCAGCTCCCTTCCCTATCTCTGTCCCACCCCCATCTCTCTCCCCCTTACCTCACGCGCACCCCCCTGTCTTGCTCTGCCCCACCCCCACTCTCTCCTCCTGCCACCGATCCCTCTGTAAATTGCATCCCCACCCGCTCGCTCGTTATGGCAGCCCCTCCCCCCCCCTCGGATTAGCTGACGCTTGCTAGCCTTCTGTTTGCTAGCCTTACATTTACTTATATAACACCTTGCTTGTAGCAGCTTTCTCACCATTTTTCGCCTGATGACGGACGCTTGTGTTGCGTCTGAAACGTCGTGATGTATTATTTTTCTACCTAGATGACTTTACCGAAAGACCCAAAGAGTACAAACTACTAACTTGACAGTGCCGTCGTGAGGCCTCGTCCCGTGCCGAGCCCCCGTCCTCACCTAGATTTCCCAGCCGGCCGAGGTGGCACCTTGGCAGGCTGAGGCTGGGCCGCTACCCTCGCCCTCCCCCACCATACCCCCGCCCGCTCTACAATAATAGTATCTAAGCGCTGTAATATTAGTATCTACCAACCCTATAGTAGTAATTGCACACTGAAGTGGGGGGGGGGACACAACCCTTTGAAGAATTTACCTCAGGGTTTTTTTTTGCATTTTTTACGCCAAATAAAATTCCCCCCCCCCTCCCAACGAAGACGTATGTGTTGCTAGGGGCAACCCCCCCCCGCAACCCCCCCCCCCCGTCAGCTTTGACGCGCAAATGCATGCAGCGGCGTAAGGAAATAAATACATAATAAATAGCACTAAATTGTTAATTTAACTACTTGAAAGTTGACGGATGGGGAAATGGAATAGCGCTGGCTCACCATGGGGCTTATGGCGTGGTAACTAGCTACTTTTTTTAAACATAAACCCCACGGTTCGCGAGGCAAATCCTTCGCAAGTTTCGTCCACAGACAGAGAGACAAAAAAAATAAGTGTATAGGTAAGACTTACCTGCACAAACGGAGAGGTAGACACATGCGTGAGCATTGTATGGACTGCGGGGCCGGCGAGCAACATGGCTCCCTATTGGCTGAAAGAGCACACCTACGAATAAGCTTACTTGCCGTTGGTTGAGGGAGACGAATGACGGTAGGTGAGAGATCGGAAGGTGCGCCCAGCAAACGGGAGATGGGACGTATGACGAGAAATGGGAGAAATTATTGGATGGAGTGAAACAGCGGACAAGGGAGAGGAGGAGATGATCGGGGAAGGCTTGGGGCGCTTTTGATGGTAGAAGTTGACATGCTCGCATGCTGCAGAATATAAAATCTTCTCACACCTTTTCTACAATCAACGTGTTGGAGTGATTCAAATTGATGAATTACCTTATATACTACCTAGGACATTGCCATGTACCTCCATGGGTCTGTGTACCCCCCCCCCCCCTCGTTGAGAACCACTGCCGTACACCATGGGAAAAACAGAATGACCCTCTCTACAGAGATAATCTCCCTCTGCACAGATGGTGTTGCAGATGGTAATGATTGTTTACGGCAATTGAGTGGTAGTGATGGTTAGTGATGTGGTGAACAGTTGTGATGTTGACGGAAATGTTTCGGGTGATGTCAAGCAATAATGATAGTCGTGATGGAGTCACTGCGCATAAATGAGCTCACAGGCAGAATCTCGCATCTCCATGTTTATTGAGAATCTGAGTCAATAACAGAAACCTGAACGCAATCCAGAATCTCAACTCGCGACGCTTCAGACAAACATTTACATCATCACTGTAATGAGTTGGTGGGAGGCAGCAACACACAACCTCAAACACAATGCATTACCTCTACCAAACCACAACCTTAACCCCTACTCAAGCACGACTCAAATATTTAACTCGGCTACTGCTCAACATGAAAATAACCAATCAACTACTTCAACCACTGCCCAACCACTCAACCGCTGTGAGGTGGCAGGATCACAGCACAGAAACGTATTCTTGAATGCATCTGTGCAGAGTGTACCAAGTTTTCTCCGGTTTTATCACGCACAAAGCCAAATTTTCACTAAAACAAGTTAATGGCCAAATATTCCAGTGGAACAGGATCCTCCTGAAAGGGAGTCTTGAAGAATCGGTGAGGCTCTCCTGGACAAATGAACATCATGATTACTGTGCCTAGCTACTCCCCAACCACTCATCCGTCACCACTCGCTCATCCATCACCACTCCTTATTGAGTGGTGTGGCTATCAATCGCGCAGATGGTGAAACTGCCCCGGGGCCCACAGGCCAGAGGAGGCCACCCAGGCTGAAGGTTACCAAGAGGGGGACAAACTGGCGAGGGAGCCGCATTTGACTCCTTGCCCAGGGACCCCCCACCGTGGTGAGTCAGTAGGGTTGTTTGGTGCCATGGGGGGCTGTGCAGGAGCGACGCGGCCTGGACAGAGCGATGGACGTGTGAGCCGAGGCGACTGGCGCACGAGGGAGCGTGACAGTAGTGTTGGTGGCAGCATTGTGGGTGGTGGTGGTGGTGATGGTCAGAGCAAGAGTGTTGTGGGAGGTAGTGGTGTTGTGGCCTATGATGGTGGAGGTAGTGGAAGTGGTGGTTGTTGTGTTGGTGATTGTGTTGTTGGTGGTGATTGTGTTGTTGGTGATGGTTGTGTTGGTAGGATTGGTAGTGGTGGTAGGATTGGTGGTGGTGTTGGTGGTGGCTTCTGTAGCTTCGGAGATCTTGTGAGACGCATGCACAGGGGACGGGATGAAGTGCCTGATGATGCACACACACACAAACCAAATAAGTAAAGATACATGGGCACAGGCATTAACATATACACACAAGCTTTTATAAATGCACAACTACCATTTGCCATTAAGTGTACCATGTGAGGTGCACTGTGAGGCCATCACGTGAAGTGTCTGAGGCTCATTGGCAGGTCAACGCACAGGTGGCAGGTGATATGGGTTACATGAGCATGGACACAAGCACATACAGTGCACTCTTATATACAACAACCGCTGCTCGCCACTCAGTTGCGGTGACATCACCATGACACTTGTGCCAAGCTAGGTGCTTCTTGAGGCCATGTGAAGTGTCGAAGGGTTACTGCTGGCAGGCAATCACGGGACAAATCCAGGTGATATGGGTTGACTGACTGAGGTGACTGGCAAAGGCAACAGATGTGCTCCTCACCGTGCTAACTCACTGCATTTTAGCCACCCCACGCTCCACTTGCTGTTTTGAGCATTGCTCCTCTGCCCTCCGCTATTGCTGGAGGTCGACTCCCTCCAACTGCCCAGATGCTCTTAGGGCTCCACATTTCATGAGCATTGAGAGTGGAGGAAATAACTGTGGCTGAGAAGACAGAGCTTTGTGTCGAGCGACAGACCAAGAAGCTTCCACACGGTGTTACACAGCTGATTAAAAAATAATGGCGCTCAATTGATTCGGAATGAATCCTCTACTGCCAAAGCAGAGCTGATCATAAGCACACTGCCCAGGTACAGAAACTTCTCCACTCTGTCGACAAATGCCCCTGCACTCATGCGGAGTTGAGCGAGTGGAGTATTTTACGACGTAAAACACCCAGGAAAGTGCTTTGTTTTTGTCGTACTAATTGTAAAGCTTCGTTTCTTAATAGCACACTCCAGGTTCAGTAGTAACGTCTTCAACTCCTTCTCAAAGTAAGCTGCAATATCCAGATCCTCAGCATACATAACATGGTTGATCAATAGGGAGCCATCCCTTGACCCTACCCAGGCATCGTTCAGCCTCCCATTGTATCTGTACCAGATGAACATTCCTCCGGTAAAGCCATGAAAGGCATCTTAAATTACATGGTCGATTAAGTGTAAATAGTGAAAGGGCTAGAGGAGATCCCTGTCACACCCCAAGGTGAACAGGCAATGGTCCTTGACTCCCACCCACACAGCTTTACTCGGAACTGGCCACCATCAAGGTCCTTAATGATTGAGCAGAGTCAGGGACCCCAAAAACATGACAACCCAAAGCCCAGGGCCTCATCATATCATAGGCCTTGACCAGGTCAATAAAGCATAGATGTAGGTCCTGTTGACAATTTCTACACCTCTGCTGTAGCAGATGTACAGGGAAAATAGTTTTCGTGCAGGACTGCCCCGACTTTAAACCACATTGGGACTCTGCAAGCCTATTCTCAGTGTGCCTGGCAAGGTCATAATACCTGCTAGGACCTTGTCAGCACACTGAAGAGGGAGATGCCCTGGTAGTTTTTGCAATCAGTCGGTTCTTCCTTTTTTTAAAATGGGGACCACCAGGGCAGCCTTCCAATCCTGTGGAACCCATCCTGCAGACCAGATGGTTCTAGGGAGGTCACATAGGGCAGCCTGCATAAAAACGCCACCCTGCCTCGGCAGTTCCCTTTTGAGGTCATCTCTGCCCGGCGCTTTACCTGTTCTCAAGCTCTGGATCGCTATTCACACTTCTTCAACTAATGGCACACCAGCCAACCACTCACAGTGAGTGGCTACTTCCTCTTATATTTGAGGTGCTGCAGTCCCAGCATTGTCAACTCTAACCTTGCCCCATGTTTTGAGTTGAGGGGTTTCCCCTCCCCCAAGACATAAATGTTTATCAATCCTGCAGAGTCTGTTCCATAGGGTCGGAGGTTGGATCACCATTGTTTCCCTTAAGTATGGTAATAGGTGTCACTGCAGGTTACTTTTTTTATGGGATTAATGAGACTCGTGATCGTGTGCAAATGAGGCCATTTCCATCTCCTTAGCAACGCATGACCAACCCTCATCCTTGCAGTATCACACAGCTTTCCAAACTCATGAGCCCAGGCTGTGGTAAAGCCTCATCATTTTTGTGTATGGTATGTTGTATACGGTGGGAGTGGGCCTGTCACTTTCTCTCAGCTAGTCTGTAAGCCAGGGTCTCACAAAAATTCTCAGCAATACCTGCAGACCTGCTATTGGGGGTCAGAGATCGGATCACTATTTGTTGATTGTTGTGGCGCTGCAAGTTACATTTTTGATGGCGTTACAGATTCGTGATGATGAGCAACTGAGGCAGATACCATCTCATTAGCAACCAGTGACCACCACTTATCCTTGCAGGGCCATACGGCTTTCCGAACCTCCGAACGAAGGCTGCGATAAGCCTCTTTATTCGATGTTGTAGACGGTTGGAGTGGGCCTGTTGCTTTCTCCCAGCTAGCCAGAACATCTCTGTCAGTCAAGGTTTCTGGGGAGGTCTCAACTGTGTACGCAATACAGCCATTGCAACCGAATGAGTTACATTCCTAATCCTCACCCAATTCCCCTTGGAATCTGGAGGAAAGAGGTGACAATGCCAACCCCAGCTGCTAGTGATGATGACATCTTGCCTGCAACTTTCATCAGATAGCTGAGACCAGGCCACTATGGTTTTTAATGGGGTCCTAGATGCACACCCACCACCGGAGTGGAAGAATGGTAGGCACAACTTACAGATGACGAGCCAATGGTCAGTGGGAAAATCAGCTCCACGGTAAGTTCTGGTGTCAAGAACATGGGCCCACATCCACTGTTCTGTCACTATATCGTCCAGCATATGCTTTTGCTTGGACTTGGCGTGCATCCATGATGTTGTGTGGATGTGCCGATAACGGAACAGCATGTTGGTGATTACAAGCCCATGGGCTGCATAGAAATCTAGCAGCCTCCTACCGTTGTTATTGAGCTGATCTGGCCCATGCCTTCCAATCACTCCGGCCCAACATCGGTACTCGCTGGACGGAATCGTGGGTGGCTATGGAGATGGCAAACAAAAACGTCATTGAGGACCAGAAAGTGAAAGTATCGGGCTTCTCTCTCCCACAACTATGGACCTCGCTACATCGTGCTCGAACTAAACATGGGAGACGAACGTTTACCTTCCAAAAATAGAAGGTTAACGAACCGCCAAACTATGACCGTGGTCCAAATCATCACACACCACCGACAAATGTGCCATCCATGCAACATCCTGGTGGTGTCTGTCGCTGCAATCCATACGGTATCTAATGCCTCTTTGCATTAGTTAAAAAAACGTAGCATTCAAGTAAAACACGTTTACAACCGATTGCTCTTTCCTCCTGCCATGAAAAAGACTCCGGCTGAGGTGCCTGTGTCAATACCCACTCGGGAATTAAGGTTACCCAACAAGATGACTAAAATTTTTCGATTTAAAGCTTTCGTGACTGCAGGGATTCATGACTCGATCCTGAGGGGCCACTTGAGCTAGTACCTGGGACAAGAGGTCATAGAAGGCATCTGACTCATTAGCCTTGCCTGCATCCCTACATTATATCCACACACTACTGTACACTACTGTAGTATACAGTTCTTCACAATATAACATGTACACATAAACAAATGCATAAACACCTGTGTTAGCGAACAAGCACGCTAACAAATACCAAGATCCTCCGTGTAGCCTTAACAGACTGTTGGGGGCAAGTGCTTTTGATGAGCACCTATGAAGGCCGGCACAGCACACCATGGGGTGGGTGGCCAGTACCACGCCAAACTGCATTTGTCTCTCCAGTGGCGATGTTAACACATCACACCAGATACTCATTTGAGGTTGAGTCGACCTAGGGTAGACCCAAGACCGGTTGAGATAATCGTCACCAATGTTGGTCGGTTAGGCGGGTTCGAAGAGCAGCGTGCTGCACCACCGCTCCACACACACACACGCATGTACTTTTATATACACCAAAGACAATACCACACACATACTCCACATACCCCACACACACAGCGAGTGGTCACTCACCTCGTTATGCCAACCTCGTCACCCCCATGTGCACCACTTGCTGCTGCTGAAGATTGGGCTGCTGCTGATGCTCTTTGACTTGTGGAGATGATGGCTGGCAATGGGGGATGTCTCTCCTTTGAGTGTGTGGGTGTGTGTAATGAGGTGGGGTTTGAGGTGTACGATGTGACTGTTGTGGCGGGAGTGGGGGGGTGCACTGTGAGCGTTGTGGCGGGGGCTGGTTTGTGTGTATATTTTGGGGTGTGTGTTGGGGCATGTGCTGCGAGTGTTGCGGCAGGGGTTGGAGTGTGCGCTGTCAGTGTTGTGGTGGGGGTTGGGGTGTGCGCTGTGAGTATTATGGTGGAGGGTGTTGTGGTGGGTGTTGGGATGTGCGTTGGGGTGTGTCGAGGAGTGAGTGCACTCAGCTTGGCATTGGAGACCACGTACACAGTTCCAGGGCTGCCTGATGTCGGGCCTGCGGAGATTCACAAAGAACCACAACGGTAACCACAACCACTCCGTAAACCACAAGCGCAACAATAACCACAATTACAACGGCAATAATCACAAACATGATGGGGGGGGGGGGGGGCATTGATGCGTCTTGCTATGGCCTCTCGCTGCTGAAATGTGTGTACAGGCACCTTCTCGTGGTCCCCCCTGTGTTCATCACCGAGTCTGTACATGCGACCGAATGTCCAGCAGTATAACTGGTCAGGGAGCAAATGCTGGCCCGATAGTTGCAGTGTGCTGGGCCGACCGGCATGTGGATATGTCCCGATGTTCAGCAACAGCTACCCCTGCTCTAAGGTGAAAGAAGCAGCCGGATCGCCGGCTCAAGGGAACCCAACATAAAGTCTCTCAGCTACCTACCCTAGCCCCCCCCAGCAAGAGACTAGGGGAATATAACTGCCAAGAATTCCCCATGTGAGACACTACCACGTATGTCTTTATGCCGTATCGCTCATCGCGTGGGTTAACAAGGCGTACGCAGCCTGGTTTTTCACCAGCCAGCTGTGACAAGTGTGCTACGGTGGACATGACTGAGAGCCTCAAACTACGCACACCATCTCGCAGTGGCACCTGGAACATCAGAACCCTCTGCCAACCAGGTGCAATTCACACACTTGTTAAAGAACTTGAGAGGGAAAGAATCAGTATCATGAGCCTCCAGGAGGTACGTTAGCGTGGTGCTACTGAAACCACTGCAGAAAACTACCCCATCCTGTGGTCCGGGCCTCCTGATGGCTCTCCCCTGCTTGCTGGGGTGGCTATTGCCCTTGATCGGACAGCCAAGTCAGCCCTATGAGAATGACACCTTGTGAATGACAAGCTACTGATGGCTAGATTCAGGCACACCCTAGGTGATTTATCCATTGATGTGGCATACATACCAACGAACGAAGCACCTAACAACATCAAAGACCACTTCTACCAGTCTCTGGAACAGTCACTAAACCTCAAAAAATGATGGGACCTCATTATGTACCTCGGAGATTTCAATGCAGTCTCTGGCACTTCTAGAGAAGGCCTCCAAACTGTGATCGGTCCACATGGCAGTGACACCCCCAATGACAACTCTGAAAGGCTACTACATTTTTGCGCAGGAAATGGACTTAGAACTGGTGGCTCCTGGTTCCAACGCTGTGACATTCACAGACTTACCTGGTTTTCAAACAACAGCCAGAGAGAAAATAATTGAGCATATACTCATTAACTCCAGTTGGAAAGCTCTGCTAAATTGCAGAGTTTACTGGAGCTTGGAGTTCGACACAGATCATCGTCCAGTTATCGCAACCATCGGCATCAGACTCAAACGATTCCCTAGCAAGAAATCGTGACCATCTCCCTGATACAACATAAAACAACTCTCAGACCCGGCATTCGAACAGCAATTCACAGTCGATATTATCAACCAATTTTCCACCTTATGTATTCCCTCTCTCCCCCTGTCTCTTCCGCAGCCCTTTCCCCCGCCCACTCACTCTGGAGCCCTGATAAGCAACTGCATTTGGAAGCTTGCCCCCTCTTTTCTCTCCACCTGAAGAAGACCGCTTGTGTTTTGATCGAAACGTCGTGGGTTTTTTGCTTTTAATTTTTGTTTTCTATCTACGTGACTTTACCGAAAGAACCAATAATAAATTTTTGCAGTGTCCAGCCCAATCATGGACTGCAATGTCCTCCTGGTCAGCGAAAGGCAGAAACTAGCACACTGGAAATAATTATATTCTCAGCTGCTGAATCACCCTTCATCTTCTTCCCGCTCTGAAGAACAGCAACCGAAGATCCCAACATCTCTTGCTCAAAGCCATCCGAGGAAGAAGTGATGGCTGCTCTAAGAAAAATGAAAAAAGCCAGAGCACCCAGAATTTGCAACATCTCGGCAGAAATGCTTTCCGAGTGGTTCAGTATCCAAAGTGGCGGAAGGCAAGGCTGCACCATTGTTCCGAACCTGTTCCTTGCCCCACTGGACTGGATACTGCAGCATACGGTTCAAAAAGGGGCTGCTGGGAGTAATCCTAGGTAGCGAGGCTTTCACCGACCTGGACTATGCAGATGATGTTGCCTTGCTAGCTAAAATGCATGATCTCCTTGCTCTGGAGGTCATGCACAGTGAAGCCCTCCCATTTGGCCTGGACATAAACTGAGCAGCCGCACAACTTTCCTTAAGTGCAAAAAGCAGGCAACAATGTTAAATTGGTAAAATCGTTCACCTATCTCGGTTGCACTATTCAACACACTGGAAGTAGCAAGGTAGACATTAAAAGGCGAATCTAATTGCACGCGAGTGCATGAAACAGCTCGACATACACATCTGGCGCTCCAGTATTACAACAGCAACAAAGATTCGACTATACATTGCATATATCCTCCCCGCACTACTGTATGACTCAGAGACATGGTCAATGACGGCGTCCCTGGGCAGGAAGTTGGATGTCTTCGACCAGTGGTGCCTGCGATGGATACTCCACATCCACTTCAGTGAATGCATCACCAATGTCGAGGTCTGCCTTCGCACGGGATGCCCGGTAGTGCATGAAAAAGTCAGAGCTAGAAGACTTAGGCTCTTCGGACACGTTGCCTGGGCAGACACATCAACAAATCACGCCAGAGCCCTGCGCGCGATAGTCGACAGCCCATCACGGGACTGGAGGTGCCCCCAGGGAAGACCAGGGCTGACATGGACATGCACATTTGAGGCTGATCTTGGACACCACGGCCTTGGCTTATATTCAGCGTGGCGGCTAGCGCAGGATAAGATTGCCTGGCGGCGGCTCATGAGGACTGCTATGCCCCAAGCAGCATGCACATGATAATGACAACCACCACGATAACCACAACCAAAACAACAACAAAAACCACGACCATCATAACCACGACAATGATAATCACGACCCTAAAGATAACCACAATGATGACCCCAACCAAAACCACAATAACCACAAAAACATAACCACAGTTGCATTGATAACCACAAACATTAGCATAAAAACAATCATAACCACAACCATAACAACCAACACAACGAGAAACATTACGAAACCATCAACGCAACATCACATTACCACCAACAAAGCTACCCTGTACAGCCTTAACAGACTGTTGGGGCAAGTGCTGTGCGCGAGCACCCATGATAGCCCACACAGCACACACAGCACACACATCACCACCTCCACCACAGCACACATCACCACCATCGTCACACATCACCACCCCCACTACCATAGTGACCTCTCACCTCCACCCGACGCAGCTGCCTCCCCCTCGTCTGTCGGAGAGCCCCTTTGCGGCATCGGTGCTGATGCTACTATCGTCGAGTTGCTGGTGATACCGGCGGTGGTGGCAGTGGTGGCGGTGATGGCGGTGATGGCGGTGATGGCGGGGGTGGTGGCGGTGCTGGCAGCGGCGAGCTCGAGCTGCTGCAGGATGCGTGCGTGCGTGACGGTCGGCGTGCCCAGCACTGTGAGCCCGGCCGTCGTGAGAGGGAAGTCATGGAACTGGTGGCGCCAGTGAAGCGAGGAGAGGAAGAGCAGCAGAGAGGAGGACGAGGTGGAGGAAGACAGATATATAAACCCTCGGTCTACCGCTTCTTCTGCACAGTCGAATATTGCGCTGCTAGGTGACAAACATCTCTGTGACCAAGTAGAATTGTGCTCCTACAACCGGACAATCACAATACAGATCTCATTTGTCTGAAGAGGGGTGGGAGCGGCGGTGCCGTGGCTCGCACTGCATGCCTCCTCACCTGCATACGTTGGATCGCCTGCACCCTGGTGCTCTCTCGCTCCATCTCCTCCGGTCTCACTGCACCTGTGGTGTTTACAGGGGCCAGAAAAGATCACAGATCATGGGGACAAGGGCAAGTGTCCCTGAGCGACCCCCGCGTGTGATTGTGACCCTGTGTTACCCCGTGTGACCCCATACTCACCGGGCTTAGGGGGCAGTCCAGTTGATAGTTTCCCCACAGAAAGTAGCTGCTTGATGGAAGAGGAGGAGGGGGGTGGTGGCTTGTGTGGTCCGAGGGGTACCAGCACACTCTGTGTTACGCAAAACGAAGATCAACATCACTAGCACATTCACAGGAAACCACACAACAGCACACAAATACACCACACAACAAACTAACACACAACCACACTTATAACAGATTGAGTTCCAATTTCTCCACTAGAGCCCATATACATAATGTGTAAGACATTGGGGGTGTGGGTGATATGGGAAATAAAACAAACTCCTGCAAGGAGCATAGGTTAACCACACCAATGCTGCAACTGCAAAGGAAGAGGAAACTGGGTGAAAAGTGAGGGAGAGGCACCGGAGAGGAGAAACAAAAACCAGCACCACCACTACTCAAGAGTCAAACAGCGTGGGTCACTCTGAAAGCGAGGCCTCCACCGATGGCTGAGACCTCTAACCAGCTGAGACATGAAACGAACCCAGCAAACGGGACGTGCTGCTACAGAGCTGAAGGACTGGACTAACTTTCAAGGAGGCAGTCACTCCAAGAGGAAGAAGTTGTTGCCAAGTGCAGCCACTTCACTCCAAGTACCCGGGCCAAGTCAAGCCACTCCAAGTGCTGGGGCCAAGTCAAGCCACGCCACTGCAAGTGCTGGATCCAATTCAAGCCACTCCACTGCAAATGCCGGGGCTAAGTCAGGCCACTACACTGCAAGTGCGTGGGCTGAGACAGCGAGCATGTGGCTTAACAGAATTCCAGTGATCAGGGCTTCAGTCGCGAGCCAGTACCAGCGTGGACTGAGTCCGGGCCGGGACAGAGGCTCGAATCAGGGGCGGGGTGGAACGAGGCGGGGCCTCTGTCCTCCGACTCCTCCTCGAGGGCCATCTTGAGGGACCTCATCAAACCGACACTCGTGACACTTTGATCCTGCACGACGTGACGTCGTTAGGGCTTCAAAATGAGGAATGTCTACATTGCATACCCATGCAATGTAGACATTCCTCCCCCAGACGGCAGGGTTATTGGGAAAAAGTGGGTAGGCGATTGAGCGTGTCTGGAGGGTATGCTCTATATTGTGTTGATGGTGGCGTGTGGGTTGGGTCGTTGAGTGCATTCTACTGTGTTCTGTTAATAGTTGTTGCGTCGCAAGGTAGACATTGATATAGAACCAAGTGTAGTGAATCTACAATGCAAACGGATTGTTCATTATGTTCACGATCTCTGCTCTTCGAGTGTAATGCGTTTGATTGTGTAATTGCTTGAGGTTACTTAGCCTGCATATTTTTGGGTTAATAAATATTGCAGCCTAAGTGTTATTGTTTTAATGCTGCTCCTTCAAACGGGTGTACAACTTAACTGGTCACTTGAACCCTTAATCCATCACTTGACAGGCAAAGGGTCCTTTGCGTGACACTAACACACCACCACCACGCAACAAACCAACACACCACACTAATACACCACAACACCACCACACAACTACACTAATACCCCACCACCAAACTACCACCAGTTTAACATGTAGGCTTTCGCAACCATACTACAGTTTTTTTTGGGTTAGATCGCGTAAATATATAAATGTGTCGTTAAACCTGCCACCACCCGCCACAGGCAATTAGTAAGGTTTGTCACGTAAACAGAACATGCCAATTAGTTACTAGTATAGCACACTGATGTATTGGAGAGCCAAGCCACAACATTTACAATCTGAGTACAATATTTCGCCAGTAATTACAACTAGCTTCATCAGGCGACAGCCAGATTTGTGGAGAAGTCCTCCTGTTTCGTTCCTTAACAGAAGGGTGGTTGTGATGACAACACTCATGTGCTCTTCTTGTGCGAAGTGGGGGGGGATTAACGAATGTGTAGTGACATCGCGGATGTCACTGTGTAATGCCGGCCCCAGAGAGGCACGGCGTGCGATGTAGCGACATCGCAGACACCACATATATGTGGGTGCAGTACCGGCCCTAGAGGTAGGCCTCGGCAAGGTAAGGTAAAAAAGGTAAAAACAACGAGCCTACCTTTACCCTACCTTTTACCTTACCACAATACAATCACTCTACCCTACCTTTTACCCTTTAGCAGGTAAAATAAAAGGTAAAAAGCAACGAGCCTACCTTTACCCTACCTTTTACCCTTACCCCATACAAATTACCCCATTACAGGGTAATTATTAGGGAACTACTACACATGAACAAGGTTTATAACGGTAAATGCTAGGTAGAGCGCTTTATTCAAAATAGAATACTCTCGATGATTCCAATTTTACACGCTTTCTATTAACTCACTATCTGTTGTTGTTGTTGTCGTCGTTGTCGTATCCTCAAATCTTGTAACTCAATTTTAACCCACTTCCTAATGTGGTATTGACTGCAAACTTGGTATACTTATGTCATACTGATGACAACACTATATTCTATCATTAAAACATATGTTTTTAAACATTCTTTTGTATATGTTATGTTTCGGCTTGGCTCTAATTGTCCACGCTCAACTGACGTTGGCTGTAATTGGCCACGGTCCCTTACGTTATGGCAAGCTTCGGGGCCACTTCCTGGAGTCGTGGAGTTCTGCCATTACTAGTACATTTAATAAAAAGTGTTTTAAAAAAAGTTTTATTTTTAAATATTACTTATTAAATGGAGGCCACAGACTGCGCCACGGAGTTTTTAGTGGTAAACAAGGTACCGTATTTACCGAGTAATACTTCGCGCTACCTTTACCCTACCGGGTATTTCTTCTGAGCTACCTTTACCCTACCCTTTACCTTATCCCTTGGCATGTCGACACCTTTACCCTTTACCTTTACCCTTTTACCCGGTAAAAAGGGTAATTTACCTTACCTTGCCAAGGCCTACCTAGAGGGGCTCGGTGAGCACTGACTGAGCGTGCTGAATGGCACCACGTTCTGCGTGCAGTGCTGACCCCTACAGGATAGGGTGCGAGAGTGCCGGCCACGGGAATGGGGTTACTATAGACCGTGGCACTCTGGTTGACCCCAGAGGACACGTGACCGGTTAAGTCTCCACAGGGCCCCCAAGTGGGGGCTAGGGGTGGTCACGTGTCAGGGTCAAGATCCTGCTCGAGGATTCCAGAAGGTGGTCGTGGCTAAAGGCAGGGCCAGCCTCCAAAGAGTACGTCTGCGACTCAGTTGAACTCACGACAAATGCATATAAATGACTGTGGGCATCCATTGCCGTTTGGGTTATTTATATGATAATCAATATACATTATGCATTAACATTATGCAAACCCATTGTTCTTGTACTTCCTGTCGATTGTGTGTACTAAAATAGCCGTACCAAAGGTAATCCCTATTGAAGTATGGTGACCTGTATAGGCATGCATTTAAACAATTTATCTATCCGAACAGTTAACATTATTTATATTTCTCTCAATTTCAATAGATTATCTAATTAGTCTTGGCCAGTAGTAACCAGTTTTTCATAGAACCTCAACATTATCGAAATCAATTGATTTTGATAATGTTGAAGTGTCCTTGTTGGCACACCTTACTAATTGGCTGTGTCGGCAGGTATAATGACACATTTATACTGGTAGGAACGAAGTGAACCAGCCTACAATAGATTATATCGTCCGTCCATCCGTCAGATATCCGATTAGGTGTAGCAACATCGCCCCCTACTGCAAACACTTGGCAGGACCCTACAAAAATCTTTAGACTCAGTGAGGCTTTCCTGGCTAAACAAGTGTAACATTCCCTTATAATTCCCTCAGATAGCTTTTAATTAAAACATTTAAATTAAAAATTAACTCACAGCGGCATAAAGCCTACAGCTAGGCTTAAAGCCTAGAACTAGGCCTCAAACTCTCCCTTCGTATCGTACCCCCGCGTGTGTGAAAGGGAGTTAATGTTTAACAATGTTACATTCCCTGATGCTTTTAAATAGAAACATTTAAATTTAAAGCTTTTACATTAAGAATTAAAACATTTAAATTCAAAATTAACTCACAGCGGCCTAAAGCCTACAGCTAGGCCTAAAGCCTAGAACTAGGCCTCAAACTCTCCCTTCGTATCGTCCGATTAGGTGTAGCAACATCACCCCCTACTGCAAACACTTGGCAGGACCCTACAAAAACCTTTAGACTCAGTGAGGCTTTCCTGGCTAAACAAGTGTAATAATACATTATGTTTATATTCTTTGGTTATTCGTTCCTACCAGCCCACCCCGCAGGGACCTGTTTTACACGATATAACCAAAAAAAACCTGTATTAACACTACCACCATATAAGAATAGGGTTTACCCTTTCTGGAAATAAAACAGGTGTTAAAATGTTAAAATATCAAACAGAAACCTTTTGCAAGGAATCATGTCTGCATTAACCACACATTTGTGGTGAACATGCAAACAAAAACATGCTCTGGTAATATATGCATTGCCTTTGAAACTGATTGGTCCACACCAGAAACAGCCTTCTTTATGGCCTAGTCTCAAACAGTGTTAGACCAGAGAACGCCAAAAGGCAAACACTACCACATCCATGCAACAAACCAACACAAAACCACACTAATACACCACCACCACACCACACAACCAACACAAAAACACACTAATTACACCACCAACACACTATCACCACTACCACACAACAAATCAACACACAGCCACACTAATACATCACCACACCACGCAACAAAACAACACACAACCACGCCAACACTCCACGCAACTACGCCAAGTACACGTGTGCCCTCACCTGTGTGGGGGGAATGGCGGACATTTGTGTGCGTGTGTGAGGGGCAGAAGCTCCGGGCCCCCCCCCAATTTCATGCAGACTAAAGCTCAAACCTTGCAGCAGACTGCCTGCCACTCCTGCACAGGAACATGGAGACATGGGAAAATAGAGAGAGAGGGACACGGGGACAGGGAGACACAAGGAAATGAGAGACTGGACAAGGGGCACCAATGGGCAAATGACGACAAGAGCACTTAGACCAGGGGTGGGCAAACTTTTTCACTCGCGGGCCACAATGGGTTCTAAAATTTGACAGAAGGGCCGGGCCAGGAACAGATGGATGGAGTGTTTGTGTGAACTAATATAAATGACATGTAAAAATCATTACATGAAATGATTTGGCCTTTAACAGGTAGCAAAGCATTTATTTGCAAGGCAATTTAACAAATTGCACGAACATGAACAATACAAAAACATGTCGTAACGTGACTGATCAAACATCATGAAAACATCTGAGGGCTGCGCTCAAACCAATTACCTCACTTGAACTTGTTTATTATCTACATTAACAGGTTAGAGCAGCCACGCAGGCTGTGTGATGGAGATTTGGCTTCAACCTCGCTGCAGCAACACATAATCACTTTCAGTTTCAGTGGGAACAGTGTTATTGATCTCCCATTTTTGCCAGTGCATCCAAGTCTGGAGTTATTTTGGTTGTGGCAATTCTCAGGATAGATCTGAGGTGCTGATCCGTTAAGTTTGATCTGTGACGGGCTTTGTTGGCGTTCATGACGCTGAATGTCTGCTGACACACATAAGTCGAGCCAAACAAAGTCAGTATCCTCTGTGCAGTCCTCCGGAGGTTTGGAAACGTGGCTCTGTTAAGTGAAGCATAAAAGTCATTCAGTTTAACAGAGTTGAACTTCTCCTTTAGGACGGAGTCAGACTGAAGATCTATCAGTTCCAACTGCAGCTCTTGTGGTGCTGTTTCAGGGTCTTGTGACAGGGGACAGGACACCAGCTGAAGTGACTGTTCAATGTTTTCGAAATCAGAGACCCTATGGCAGAATTCTCCGTGCAGGTCCTCAAGTGATTTGCTGTATTTTTTGCGTTTTGCGGTGCCTCTTCCTGCATGGCAAGTGTGGGGAAATGAGTGAAAGATTTGTTCGCAATTTGTCCGGAGAACAAAGTGAGCTTGGATTTGAAGGCTTTCACATGTTTGTACATGTTGTGAACAAACTGATCTTTCCCCTGCAGTTTCACATTCAGCTCATTCATGTGTGAAAATATGTCCACAGCAAACCAGTTCTTGTCGCTTAGCTCAAGGAATTCGTCAGATTTCCCCATCAACTCCAAAAATGCGATGATATCTTCTTTCAGCTCCCACACTCGTTGTAACACTTTCCCCAAACTTAACCAGCGGACACGAGAGTGGTACAGCAAGTCCTGATGATCCGCATCAGTTTCCTCCAGGAACGTAATAAACTGACGGTGCTGAAGTCCCCTTGCTCGTATTAAGTTCACAAGTTTTACGACTGGATTCACGACATGATTAAGCTGCAATACAGACTTACACAGGGATTCCTGATGGATGATGCAGTGAAGGAAAATAAGATCCTGGACAGGGTTTTCCTCTTTCACTTTATCCTGGATTCTTTTCAGCAGCCCAACATTTTTTCCAGTTAAATTTGGCAATCCATCCGTTGTGACATTGACAAGTTTACTCCAAGGTAGCGTCATTCTTTCGATGACAGCAGATACCTGGCTATACAAGTCCTCTCCCCGCGTTGTTCCTTTCAGGGACTCCATGGTCAAAAACTCCTGTTACCGCAAAACTGTCGTCAATGCCTCGGATAAAAATGAGGAGCTGAGCAGTGTCTTTTACGTCCGTACTTTCATCCAGTGCTAGTGAATATAATTCAAAGGAATCAGACTTTTTGTTTAATTGACTGGCTATATTTTTATCAATCAGTTCCACACGGCGAGTCACAGTCCTGCGTGATAAACTGACTTTTTCAAATTCTTAGGTGTTTTCGGTAAAGTCACTTAGGTAAAACATCAAAATTAATAAAAATAATAAAATAAAATAAAGATCACGACGTTTCGGAGGCAACACAAGTCTCCGTCATCAGGTGGGACAGTCACAGCCAGATTAGCTGCATCAAGTGAGGCAATGATTCAAGATGTAATCCCTTAAAAGCGAGTTGAGGGGGGAGGAGAGGGGGGGGGCTCATCAGAATGTGGTAGCCAATGAATGGAAAGTATCGGGAGAGAGGGGCTTTCCATTCATTGGCTACCACATTCTGATGAGCCCCCCCCCTCTCCTCCCCCCTCAACTCGCTTTTAAGGGATTACATCTTGAATCATTGCCTCACTTGATGCAGCTAATCTGGCTGTGACTGTCCCACCTGATGACGGAGACTTGTGTTGCCTCCGAAACGTCGTGATCTTTATTTTATTTTATTATTTTTATTAATTTTGATGTTTTACCTACGTGACTTTACCGAAAACACCTAAGAATATGATTCATTGCAGTCACGAAAGCTTCAAGTCTAGAATTGACTTTTCAAATTTGCTTTTGATCTCTGGACACAAGATGTCTGCTGTCTGTACCATGTATTTTTTTACAAACTTGCCTTCGGAGAAAGTGGTAATGAGTGGTAATTTTGGTGAGAAGAAGTTTTTATAGAAAATTTAAATCGAAGTGAAGAAGGAAATTATTGAAAAGTTTGTATAATTAATGATTTTTCAAACTTTAATTATGTTTTCTGTGCTTAAAACTCTTTAAAAAACTGTGGGGTAGAGAACGGACTCGTGAAATTCGGAGAGAACTCGGAGTTAAGTTTTGATTGTTTTGTTGAATTACACAAAGCGTAACAGTTATTTATATAACTTTTGTTATATAAAATTCCTATTAAGATATTAATTTTGTGACGTAGTCATACCCCTCCCCCTCATTCAAGCCGTAATTTAGAGAGCGAAAGCGCCGAGTACGTAAATCGCTAACATAAGAACCCGTTAACCTCTTCTCGCATCATTCATACGATGATGCGGTGAAGTAAACGTTCATACGATATTACAGTGAATGCTTCCAAAAACAATACTGTACCCAAATATTACTGTTAACTTACTTTCAATAGAAACATGAATTGCTCATACGAATATTCTCTCTCTCTCCTGCGCCATCTAATGGGGAAATGGGGGCATTACAGGAGAAAGGTAATATTTAATTTAATAATATTTGGACAAATTCGGTGGGCCAGATTAAAAAGCCTAACGGGCCATATACGGCCCGCGGGCCGTACTTTGCCCATGTCTGACTTAGACCATAACAACCGCCATTCACCACTACAGGTCGGTGATGTCACCACAATGTTTTTTCCATGCCAGGTGCACTTTGAGGCCATGTGAAGTGTCTAAGGCCCGCTGGCAGGTCATGGAACTGACCCAGGTGCAATGGGTTGACTGACTGAGATGGCTGGGAGATGCACCAACTGTGCTCCCCACTGTAAATTTTCTGCGTTTTAGCCGCTCGGCGCTCTGCTCATTGTTGTGAGAGTTGCTCCACTGCCCTTTGCTGTTGCTGGCAGGCGACTGCCTCCAATTTCCCAGTTGCGTTCTTCACAAACCTCCTCCCCAGAGGCCGATCTTGATACCGCTGGTACTGGTCATCGGCAAATAAGCTCCACATCCTTCTGTACCATATCAGTCCATCTCATCTGTAGCTCATACCGCGGCCATTTAGTTCCATCTATCTGACCAAACATAAGATGTTTGGTCATGTGGTGGCTACATGAATCAGTCAATGTAGCCTCACTTGCTGCAGCTCACTGAAGGAAGTGTCCAGATCTTTCAAGGATCAAAGTTCATAACACATTTCAGTCTGGTTAAACCCAGGATGGACCATAGGCAGGCTAGCCTAAATGTTTCAAACCAGTGAAGATGTACCTTCAGAGGGCTTAACGTTTTGCAAAAATAGAGAATGGAGGGCATAACTGTGGCTGAGAAAACCCAAAGCTTCTTATGGAGTTGTAATGCGGGCGTAAACGGCCTCGTGGATATGACATCACGGGGGGGAGGGGTTAGGTCACGTGGGGGAGAGGAGTGAGCTCTTAAGGGCGGTAACCGAAAGAGACGAGAGGAGAACGGATGCGTCATCTCCTGATGTTGCCTTGCCGGGGTCTGTTGCTGCCGACGCACCCTTGCCTGTGCCTATTGACCCTGCAAGAGCGCCTGTCGTGCCTTTTACAGACAAGCCGGCCGTGACACTGCAGGAGACAGGGGACTCTGCTCAGGGTGTGCCTACCACGGCTGCGGGGACGCCGAGCCCCGCCGCCCTTCCGACCCCGCCGCGGACACGATTGCGGGACACCCCAGACTCTGGCCCTTCGGGGATACGGGACCGTGACGTTGGCGGGCCTCCAATAGCGACAGGAAGTCGTGATCCTGTCGCTCTTAAAACCCCGTCGCGTTCCCGGTCTGCAGGGGGGCCGCCGCCCGTCTGGGACGGGCCGGCGACCCGCACGCGGTCGAAGTCCCTTACGTTTCGTTGATTTATACTGTTCTTGTTCTTCTTGTTATTGTTATATTTATTGTATGCTTCGTTGTCCTCGCATGTCTGATGGTTGTTGGTCGCTCGCATTACTTGTTGTTGTTGTTCAGCCGAGGACGGCTGGAATTTTCTCCACGGGGGAGGGTGGTGTAATGCGGGCGTAAACGGCCTCGCGGATATGACATCACGGGGGGGAGGGGTTAGGTCACATGGGGGAGAGGGGTGAGCTCTTAAGGGCGGTAACCGGAAGAGACGAGAGGAGAGTGTGGGAATAAAGACAGGGTGAGGCCACGCAGGGCAGGAGGTGGAGAGTGGCGAGATCGCCACGCGGTGAGACTCGGCACCGTCGGCCAGCGGTGACCGGGCACGGGTGGAATGGAGGGCAGCGGTGGAGCTGCAGCGAGAGCAGCTGAAAGACTGCACAAGGAAGCCTGCAGCGGAGCTGCATCGGAGTGGGGAAAGGCTACGGGAGCGACGGCAGCTATCGAGCTGCCAAGCGGGGAGGCTCTGAGCGAGGGCCGTGTGGGACAAGTTGTAAGAACCCAAATAAAGGACAACGGAGACAGAAACAGTGAAACAGCCCTTTATTACAGAGTGATAGACCAGATAGCTTCCACACAGCATTATGCAGCTGAGGAAAATATGCCGCTCGACTGATTCCAAGGTACAGAAACTTTTCCACTCTCTCCACAATTGCCCCATCACTCATGGGGAGTGAAGGGAGGGGAGCATTCGATGACATAAAATACCCAGGCCTGATTGTAAGGCCCCAAGTTCAGCAGTAGCATCTCCAACTCCTTCTCAGAATAGGCAGCAATTATGACATCATCTGCATACATAACATGGTTGAGTGGTTGACCAATAGTAAGTCATCCCTTTACCACACCTGGGCATCGATCAGCCTCCCATTGTATCTATACCAGATGGAAATTCCACCGGTTCATCCATGGAAAGGTTCTTGAACTACGTGGTCAAAAAATGTTAAATAATGTAGGGGCCAAAGGACATCCCTGTCACACAAGGTGAACAGAAAATGGCTTCTACACCCCGCCATACCACTTTAGACTGGGCCGGCCCATCATGGTAACTGGTGTGGGCGCTGCAAGTTGCTTTTTTTATGAACTTGAAGATCTGTGAGCTACTGAGGCATATTCCATCTCGTTAGCAACCAGTGACCACCACTCATCCTTGCAGCGCTGTACGACTTTCCGAACCTTCCAACAAATGCTGCGGTAAGCCTCCTTATTCGACGTAGAATATTGTAGATGGTGGGAGTGGGCCTGTTGCTTTCTCTCAGCTGGAACCCTTCCTCCATAATTCACGGTCTCTGGGGAGGTCTGGACTGTGTAACAAATGCAGCCACTGCAGCTGCATGAACCAAAGTCCTGAACCTCACCTACTTCCCCTCAGATAACGTTGCCAACCCCAGGCGCAAACTATGGGATTCTCGCTTGCAACTTTCATCAGCTAGCTGAGACCAGGCTATCGTGGGATTGAATGGGGTGTCCTAGGTGGACACCCACTACCGGAGTGGATACATGACAAGCCAATGGTCAGTGGGCAGATAAGCTCCACTGTAGGTCCTGGTGTCCAGGACATGGGCACGCATTTAATGTTCCATTACTATATACTTCAAGAGGTATTCTTGTTGGGACCTGGCATGCATCCATAAAGTTGTTTGGATGTGCCGGTAACGGAACAGCGTGTTGGTGATTACAAGGCTTTGTAAGATGAACAAACACAACTACACAGACACAAATATCCCCCATGTCGCCTTTAACAGGCTGTTGGGCCAAGTTCTGTTCGTGGGCACCATTAATGGCCGGTACAGCACACGATGGGATGGGTGGCCAGCACCACAGTTGGCCACATTTGGCTCCCCAGTGTTGATATTTACATATTGCACCAGATACTCATTTGAGATTGAGTCGACCTAGGAGAGGCCCTGGACTGGTTCAGTGGGATTCAAACGGAGGCCGCCAGGTTTTTGGCGCAGTGTAGTAATGGCACACATACCGAGACATAAAGATACACAAAGACAAAAATGCGCACAGACACAGAGACATACACAGATAGGTGCACACGTGTACCTGGTGAGGGTCCATGTGTGCGTGTCGAGCCTGTGCTGCTGTTGCTGCCTCCCATCATTACCAAATCAGAGAGCTCCTTCACTCCTGACACAGGGGGTGACCTTCTGGGGGGCCCTACACACAGACACAAAGTTCCACCGTATAGCCTCAACAGATTCTTGGGGAAAGTGCTGCTAACGAGCACCTATATTTGCCGGCACGACACAAGGAGGCATTGTTGGTCAGCACCACACCCGACCACCTTTGTCTCTCCAGTGGCGATGTTTTCACATCGATCCAGGTACTCATTTGAGGCTGAGTCAACCTATGGGAGATACTTGTCACTTGTGTTGGCCGTGAATAGGAATCAAACTCAGGAGCCGTATTTGTAAAGCAGCGTGCCAACCGCTACCACCACATCCAACAACTGCCATCACCATGGCACTTGTGCCAGGCTGGGTGCTCCTTAACACAACATGAAGTGTCGAAGGCTTACTGGCAGGAGGTCATGGGATACACCCAGGTGCCAGGGTTGACTGAGATGACTTGCAGATGCACCACCTGTGCTCCCTACTGTGCCAGAGTGCTGCTAGCCCAGTGCTCCGCTGATTGTTGTGAGCGTCGCTCCTCTGCCCTCTGCAGTCATTGGAAGGTGACTGCCTCCAACTGGCCAGTAGCATCCTTCATGAGCCTCCTCCATAGAGGCTGATCTTAAAACTGCTGGTACCAGTTATTGACAGGTCAATTAATCTCCATATCCTTCTGTATCGCATCACCCTATCTCCTCTCTAGCCCGTGCCCCTGCCGTTTAGCCCCCTCTAGATGGCCAAACAGAAGCTGCTTAGGAATGCCTTGCCTGCTTGAGGAGCTCACTGATGGGACTTACAAGGATCTACGAGCTATTCACACAATCCAGCCTGGTTAAACCCAAGATGGATTGTAGGCAGGGCAGTCTGAATGTTGCAAACCGACACAGATGTTCCTGCAGAGGGGTCCATGATTCACAAGCATAGAGAAGGGATGGCATAACTGTGGCCAAGAAGAATCAAAGCTTCGTCTAGAGCGACAGGCCAGGCAGCTTTCGCATGGCGTTATGCAACTGATAAAAATATAATGCCGCTTGACTGATTCGGAGTGAGACCTCCGCTGACAAACCGGAGCTGGTCCTAAGCACACTGCCCAGGCCCAGACTATTCTCACACTCAACATACTCCATACTGTATATATTATACGTTAACTAATATTATCAATCAGATAAACAAACACCAACACACTTGGACAAGGATCCCCCTTATAGCCTTAAAATACGTTTATGGCAAGTGCTGTTAGTGAGCACCTATGAATGCTGGCACAGCACAACAAGCAGTGGGTGGTCAGCACCATCTCTGGCCACCTTTGTCTCCCTAGTGGCGATGTTTACACACTACACCAGGTACTCATTTGAGGTTGAGTCAACCTATGGGAGGGCCCAGGAGTGGTTCAGATAATTGTCACTGGTGTTGGTCGTGAGTGGGAATCGAATTCGGATCGCCGGGTTCATAGTGCGACGCACTAACCACTACACTACCACAAAGTGACACACACACACACACGTGTGAACACTGGCACCACATACCCTCCAGTGCGCTGGTGGCTGCTTGCCCGCCGATCGGACTCGCCGTGCCCCCGGCATGCCCCGGGTCCACCACGGCTAGCGCCGACATGTCCACCCCGCTGGGTCGTGTGCGCTTACTCAGCCCACCCCCTCCTCCACTGCCTCCTGCCCCTCTCCCACCCCCTGTGCTCCCCACAGCCCCGGGCCCTCCTACACGGGAGGGTCCTGCTCCATGGCGCCGCTTGCGAGAGTTTTTGTCGTCACCGTCGTGAACACCGGTTTCAGAGCTCACGGGAACTGCTCACCACACGGGAGATGCGGGGGGTGGGGTGTGGGTGATTAGATGAGTGTGCGAGGGAGAAGGTAAGTGGGCAAGGGTGAGTGGAGTGAGTGGGTGAAAGTGTGTGAGTGGGTAACGAAAAGATGTCGCTCGGCTGATTCCGAGTGAGACCTCTGCTGCCAAACTGGTGACTGTGGGTGGTAAGCGCTCGTGGGTGAGGGTGAGTATGGCTGGGTGAAAATGGCTGGGTGTGCCTGGATGAGGGTGATCGTGGCTGGGTAAGGGTCAGTGTGGCAGGATGATCGTGGCTGGGTGAGGGTAAGAACACACTCACCGAACACGTAGGCGGGGCTAGATGGAGGTTTTTTGTCCAGAGTTTGTTTGAGGAAGGCAGCAAATTGAGCTGCGCACACACGCATACATACACACTTGCCGCTTTCCACTTACACTCACTCAACAACAACCGCCGTTCATCACTAAGTAGCGGCAACATTATCACGGCACTTGTGCCATGCTAGATGCACTTTGAGGCCATGTAAAATGTTTAAGGGCCGCTGTCAGGTCATGGAACAGACCCAGGTGCAATGGGTTAAGCGACTCAGATGACTAGTAGATGTACCACCTGTTCACCCCACCGTGCCAACTTTCTGCCTTTTAGGCACCAAGTGCTCCACTCATTGTTCGAGTGCCGCTCCTCTGCCCGCTGTTGTTACTGGATGACGACAGCCTCAAACTCCCCAGTAGCATCATTCACGAACCTCCTCAAAAGAGGCTGATTTTGACACTGCTGGTACCAGATATCGGCAAGGTCAATCAGCTCCACATCCTTCTGTACCACATCAGTCCATGACTTCTCCAGCCCGTGCCATGCCCGTTTAGACCTATCTGGCAATACAGAAGCTGCTTGGGCAGGCGGCAGATGGGCATGTGGGCTACATGACCTAGCCAATGGAGGCTTGCCTGCCGGAGCTCACTAAGAGGACTGTGTCAGATCTTTCAAGGATTTGAGCTCCTCAAACAATCCAGTCTGGTTAAACCTGTGATGGATCGTAGGCAGGCCAGCCTGAATGTCTTAAACTGGTGCAGGTGTTCCATTGAGAGCGAGAAGGGAGGACTGTGGCTGAGAAGATCTGAAGCTTTGTGTGGAGCGACACATAAGGTAGCTTCCACACAGCGTTACATAGCTAACAAAAATATGCCGCTCGGCTGCCAAAACCGGAGTTGGTCATAAGCACACTACTTAGGTAAAGAAACTTCTGCACTCTCTAAACAACTGCCTTATGGGCAGCTGAGGGTATGGAGTATTGGATGACATAAAATATCCAAGCAAGTGCTTAGTTTTGCTGGGGCTGATGGCAAGGCCCCACCACTTAGTGGCACACTGCAGGTTCAGCAGCAGAACCTCTAACTCCTTCCCAGAGTGAGCAGCAACCATCAGATCATCTGCATACATAACATGGTGACCAATAGGGGGCCATCCTTTGACCGCATCCAGGCATCAATCAGCCTCCCATTGTATCTGTACCAGATGGAGATGGAAAGCTTCTCGAACTGTCCACACTCTCACAATCCCCTCCCCACTCAGTCCCCTCCCCAGTCACCTTCTCACAATCCCCTCCCTACTCACACTCACACTCTATCATACTCTAAAACGCTTACACTCACACTCACTGGCTCTCATATAGCCATTCACACTCTCACTCTAACATGCTCACTTCTTCACACTCACTCCCTGGTGTTCTCACTCACAAATACAAAAGATCCCCGTAGAAACAGACTTTTAGTAAAAGTTCTGTTAGCGAGCACCTCTGAAGGCCCACGAGGGGGTGGGTGGTCAGCACCACGCCCAGCCACCTTTATCTCCAGAGTGGTGATGTTACACACCGCACCAGGTATTCATTTGAGGCCGAGTCGACCTTGGGGAGGCCCATGACCAGTTCAGATATTCACCACAGGTGTTAGATGTCAGCGGGAATTGAAATTGGGTCACAGGGTTCGTAGCGCAGCGCTCTAACCACTGCACTACTACTCCCCACAAAGACTGAGATCCCTTGTATAGCCTTAACAGACTGCTGGGGCAAGTGTTGTGAGCAAACACCAATTCCCACTCAATGGCAGAGCCAGGATTTTCAGATAGGGGGGGCAACCCCTCCAGCAATGAAATATGAAAGGAGTTGTTAGTAAGTAAGGACTTGTCCCTTGCTTTTTATTTGACACGTGTGAGGCGATGGCACAGCCATCGATCGAGGGTCGAATTCAAACCGTGTGTGATCGGCATCGCGCTTGCTGAAGGTGAATGCCTTCAGGGAAGTCGTGTACTGTATACGCAACTGCACACAATTCTGTGAGTCACTTATAACTCAGACTATTGTCCTATCATCTCATAGAGTCCCTGGCACATAATAATATGCTGCACAGTGGCAGTGGGGGTCGCAAAATGCCGATTTATTACTAATAAACCCCAATGATCCGATCAAAATTAGGGATTTCGATCGGATCATTGGGGGGGCACGTGCCACCCCACTCCCCCCACTTGCTCCACCAGTGTTCCCACTCACACACTCACTCTCTCTCTCACCCCCTCGCGCTCGCTCGCCGGCTGCCTCCCACTCACGGGAGAGAGCGTTGCCCCCGGCGCGCTGCAGGCTGTTGCGCACGAGGCTGGCGTAGTGGGCCCCGGAGCCCGACGCCAGCAGCGATGCCTTCACCTCGGCGGAGGAGAGGCCCAGCGCGGACGACAGCGCCGGCGAAACCAGCCCCGCCGTGCCACCGCACAGCCTCACTCGGGTGCCCCCGACGCCACCCCCCACTGGCGCTGAGCTCAGCCCCGTTGCTCCCTGCAAACGCAGTAAGTTACAGCAGCGGCGGCAGCACTCGCAAACGCAAAAAGACAAATATCCTCCGTGTAGTCTCAACATACTTTTGGGGCAAGTGCTGTTAGTGGGCAACGATAAAGACCGGCACGACACACAAGGGGGTAGGTGGCAAGCACTATGCACACTCACTCACAAATATACTCACTTAAACACACAAAAGACAAAGATCTCCCGTATAGCCTTAACCGACTGTTGGGGCAAGTGCTGTTAGTGGGCACCGATGAAGGCCGGCACGTCACACGAGTGGGTGGGTGGCTGGCACCACGCCTTTATAGCCCTAGTGGCAATGTTTTACACACCAGGTACTCATTTTAAGCTCAGTCAGACGAGGCGAGGCCAGTTCACATAATCATCACTTGTGTTAGCCTTGAGCGGGAATCGAACTTGTGTTGCTAAGTTTGAAGAACAGCGTGCTATACCACAGCGCCACCCCTCCCCACTCACACACAAATTCACTGACACACACACTCACTCAAAAGCTTAAACTTTCATACTCAATAGCAGAGACATGTCAACATTCAGACTCTGTAAATAAATTCACATGGTAATTGTTTAAAGTGGGGGTGCAGAGGGGAGTGAGGAGCCGCTGGACTTTAGTGGTGGGCACCTGTGCAGTCCGGTAGATAGAGAAGGCCGATTGGGGGGCCCTCTCCTGCATCTCCGCCGCGAGGTCTCTCCGGGCGTCTCTCCCGCCCCCCCCGCCACACCCCCCGCCGCTGCCCCCCCCGCCGCCGCCCCCTCCGCCGCCGCCCCCTCCCTTCCTCCGACCACCCGCATCGCCCCCACCGCCCCCCGCGCCCCCATCGCCCCCTGGGGGGTCGGGGCCCACATGGGCGGAGGCAGCGCGACCCAGCACCCAGGAGAGGAAGTCTGAGATTTCATCCTGAGAGATCGAGACACACATACACACGGAGACACGCACACATGCATAGAGATACATGGAGACACACACATTCATAGAGACAACACATTAACCTATTCCTGTTCCAATGACGTACGTGTACATCGTCAGTTTTCCTTCCAATTCCATTCCGATTCCGTACGTTTACATCATCGGAACAGAATCTATTGCGAATGGAGTCGGAAGTAAAAGGCCATGCGGGGGGGGGCATGTAGCAGTTTGGTACCAGCTATCGTGGAGTGCATTCGTGTCGCTACAGTTACCTGCAGTGAGTACAGGACAATGTCATTAAAAACAGCAGCGCTTCACCTCTATAAATACAATGCTAAACCGCTTGCGCGTTGAAATTCAGCGGTGAACAGGACCCACTCTGCAACTTGCAGATGTCTCGGAACAGGAAATGGTTAAATAGAGACACACAAATTGATAGATATATATATATAGACACACCAACATTCAGAGACGCACATTCATAAAAAAATATGTACATGCATTCACAGAGATGCACAAACATTCATAGACGTAGAAATACACACATTCATAGAGATCTTGATTTGAAGCTTTCGTGACTGCAGGAATCCATACTCCTTGGTTCTTTCGGTAAAGTCACATAGGTAGAAAAAATTATAATAGATCACAACGTTTCGATCGTAACCCAAGAAACCATCATCAGGTGTGAAACAAACACAGCAGGACCGCTGACGTAGGAGAAAGAGCTTCTGCAACAAGAGTTTATATAGGATTTTGGTGGGCCCAACCCAAGGGTAAGTGGGCAGAGCTAGAGAAGGTATTTGTACGTAAATCTTGATTTGAAGCTGTAAATGTTAAAGATTAGCATGTCAATGTGAGACGGCACAGCCACCGTGCCAATGAGAATATTAGCATGTCAATGTCAGAAGACCCGGGCAACAGGAACAAAAAGAAACCCTAAGAGCAAGAGGTACACATGATGAGAGGGAGACAAAGGGAGAGAGACACAGAGAGAGTCAGAAATAACAGCTGACATAGGCAGGTAGGATGGAAACATCACAGTCAGTTAAGATTTGACTTGGTTAATAACGTCCTTCCAATGATTGCTCAATTTGTACACATCTTCTCGGTTTAAGTTGTGTCTGCGTTTTTTCTACCTACGTGACTTTACCGAAAGAACCAAAGAGTATTCTTTTTCGATTTTAAAGCTTTCGTGACTGCAGGGATTCATCTTCTTGGTTCTTTCGGTAAAGTCACGTAGAAGGGAAGTAATAAAATAATAAAAATAAAACACAATAAAATAATTCTCACGACGTTTCGGCCACAACGCAAGCAGCCGTCCTCAGGTGAAAACCAGGTCCGTCGAGGCGACAGAGTCTGAATGAAACAGCACACGAGCTTGGAGCATATATATAAGCTGGGCGCCTTGACAAAGGAATTTGCATATCAAGAGGAATTTAGCATATTTATGGCAAATGCAGGAATGTGATTAGTACTACATATGCATGTGCATTATGCAGGATTAACAGCATCAAAGGGAGCTGCAGTTGCTGCTGCTGCAGTTGCTGCTGCAGTTACTGCTGCTGCTGCAGTTGCTGCTGCTGCAGTTGCTGCCTTATCCATTTTAATATAACACTATGGGTAGAATAATACAGTGTTATATTAAAATGGATAAGGCAGCAAATGCAGCAGCAGCAGCAACTGCAGCAGCAGCAGTAACTGCAGCAGCAGCAACTGCAGCAGCAGCAACTGCAGCAGCAGCAGCAACTGCAGCAGCAGCAGCAGCAGCAACTGCAGCTCCCTTTGATGCTGTTAATCCTGCATAATGCACATGCATATGTAGTACTAATCACATTCCTGCATTTCCCATAAATATGCTAAATTCATCTTAATATGCAAATTCCTTTGTCAAGGCGCCCAGCTTATATATATATGCTCCAAGCTCGTGTGCTGTTTCATTCAGACTCTGTCGCCTCGACGGACCTGGTTTTCACCTGAGGACGGCTGCTTGCGTTGTGGCCGAAACGTCATGAGAATTATTTTATTGTGTTTTATTTTTATTATTTTATTACTTCCCTTCTACGTGACTTTACCGAAAGAACCAAGAAGACAAAGAGTATTCATAGAGATATTCAGAGACACACCTGAATGCAGCGATCCACCATGCTTTGTGTGAGACCCTCCAACCGTCGCTTAGTCTTGTTCATCCTGCACACACACAGGGGTGCAAGACAAAAAACGCAGTATAGCCTTTAACGCTTTAACAAACTGCTGGGGCAAGGGCTGTTAGTGAGTACCTTTGAAGGCTGGCACAGCATGGGAGGGGGTGGGTGGCCAGCACCGCGCCCAACCACGTATCTCCCTATTGGAGATGATTACACACCGCACCATGTACTCATTTGAGGCAAGAGTCGACCTAGGGAAGGTCCATGACCAGTTCAGATAATCGTCACTGGTTCGGGAATCGAACTCGGGTCTCCAGGTTTATAGGACAGTGTATACACACATCCCAGTACTCGCATCATGATGCGCACACACAGCAGTGTACACACGTCACAGAGGACACACACATCTCAGTGTACAAGCACTAAATATGTTTAGACTCGCCCTTCACTTTCAATGAATAAGACTCATTCAATGTGTACATGTGGGGGGGATAGAGCTGCACTATCGCTCCCCCCCACACATATACACATATATACACACACATACAAACTCTGCTATGTGAATACCGTATGACAATGAGGTGACGCGATGGTGATGGTGCGGTGTAGTGGTGTGGTGTAACGGTGCGACGCCTAGGTGTCGCTGTGGTGTGAAGCAACGGTGTGATGGTGGTGTGTGATGATGATATGTGGCAGTGTAAGGATGCGCTGTGATGGACGGGCGTGACAGTGCGAGGATGTGGCATGATACCGTGACGCTGATGTGATGCCGAGGTGGCGCTATGGTGATAGTGCGGTGTGACAGTTTGGTGCGATAGCAAGACTGTAGTGCGACAGTGTGGTGTGACGGTACGACAGTGCAGTGTGATTGTGTGGTGCGATTGTGCGGTGTGACGATGTAGTGTGACGGTGCGGTGTGACAGTACGATAGTGTGGTGTGCCTGTGGAATGGTACTGTGTGACGGTGCGGTGTGACGGTGTGACCTTGCGGTCTGACGGTGTAGTGTAATGGTGCAGTGTGATGGTGTGACCTTGCGGTCTGACGATGTGGCGGTGCGGAGTGACGCACCGGAGACTCGAGTCGGCGCCCCCGACGATGACGAGGCCGCTGTGAGCGCGGAGTCGCTCGCGGAACTCGTCCATGGCGGCGGGCGAGCTGAGGGTCGAGCGCTGCCCAATCACAAACAACGTTGGGACTCGCAGCTCCAGCAGAGGGTCGTCCACATCCTGGCCCGGCCACACGGCAGCACACGGTCACACCGTAGCACGCGGTCACATGGTCACATGGTCACATGGCAGCACATAGTCACACCGTAACAGATGGTTACACGGTCACATGGTAGCACACGACAGCACACAGTCACATGGCAGCACAAGGCAGCACATGGTCACATGGTCACAGAGCGCGTACACCGCCGCACGGCAGCACACGGCCACACGAACACATAACCACACGACAGCTCACAGACAAAATGGGGACCTTTGTCTTTGTGTCTCACCCCTCTCTCGCCCTCTGTGGTGAAGAGTGGGAAGCCGAGGCAGACAACAGCTGAGACGCTCTCCATTAGAGACACCTGCAAACACGCACACAAGCACCCCAGTATGGGTGTGTGTGACATTCCCTGTGTGTGTGTGTGCGAGAGTGTTTGCATGTGTGCGGGTATGTGTATATGTTGAGCTTTGTGTTTGTGTGTGAACTCACGTGACACGCCACCAATGCTCCCACGTTCCAGCCAATTAGAACTACCGGTCGGTTTGGGAAGTGGTGCTGAAGCTGTAAACACACAAACACACACACGTACAACAACAACCGTGATTCGCCACTAAGTGGCAGTAACAGCACCAAGGCACTTATACCAGGCTAGGTTCACATTAACGCCATGTGAAGTGTCGAAGGCTCGCTGACAGGAGGTCGTGGGACAAACCACCTGTGCTTCTCATGGTGCCAACTAGATGCGTTTTAGTCGCCAAGCACTCCGCTCGTTGTTGTGAGTGTTGCTCCTTCACCCGCCGTTGTTGTTGGAGGGCCCAGTAGCATCCTACACGAACCTCCTCCACAGAGGCCAATCTTGACACTGCTGATCAATGGCAAGTCTACTCAGCTCCACATCCTCCGATACCAGCCCAACCACACCCATTTAGCACCCTCTATCTGGCCAACAGAAGCTGCTTGGGAATGCCTTGCCTGCCAGAGGAGCTCACTGATGGGACTTTCAATGATCTCACACAATTCTGCCTGGTAAAACTCAGGATGAATTGTAGGCAGGCCAGCCTGAATGTTTTAAACCGGCACAATGTTCCTGCAGAGGGGTCCACGTTTTGCAAGCATAGAGAAGGAATAGAATAACCGTGGCTGAGAAGACTCAAAGCTTTGTGTGGAGCGACAGGCCAGGTAGCTTCCACAGAATTTCACAAACATAATGCCGCTTAATAAGATCTCAGCTGCCAAGCTGGAAATATTCAAAAGCACACGGCTCAAGTATGGAAACTTCTCCACTCTCTCCACAACTGCCCATTCACTCATGGGAAGTGGACAGGGTTAAGTATTTTATGACATAAAGACCCATGCTTTATTTTTGTGAGGCTGATGGTAAGGCCTCACCTCTTACAGACATGCTCCAGGCTCAGCAATAGGGTATCCAACTCATAATTGGGAGCCATCCCTTGATCACACCCAGGCATAATCAGCGTGCCATTGTATTTGTATCCAATTATTCCGGTACAGCCATGGAAAGCTTTTCAAACTATGTGGTCAAAGATGTTCAGTAGTGTAGGGGTCAGAGGATATCTCTGTCGCATCCCAAGATCAACAGGCCATGCAGCTGTACCTGGGCCTGCCCACTATAATGAAGGTCCTTGATGATTTCGATTTAAAGCTTTCGTGACTGCAGGGATTCATCTTCTTGGTTCTTTCGGTAAAGTCACGTAGAATGGAAATAATAATAAAATAATAAAAAGAAAACATAATAAATAATTCTCACGACGTTTCGGCCACAACGCAAGCAGCCGTCCTCAGGTGGAGAACAGGTCTGTCGAGAAGACAGAGTCTGAATGACACACCCCAGGCTTGGAGTGACTATTTAAGCTGGGATGGAGGGGGAAAGAGCGCCTTGACAAAATAATTTGCATACCAAGAGGAATTTAGCATATTATGGGAAATGCAGATATGTAGTACTAATCGCATATCTGCATTTCCCATAAATATGCTAAATTCCTCTTGATATGCAAATTATTTGTCAAGGCACTCTTTCCCCCCTCCATCCCAGCTTAAATAGTCGCTCCAAGCCTGGGTTGTGTCATTCAGACTCTTTTTTTATTATTATTTTATTATTTCCATTCTACGTGAGTTTACCGAAAGAACCAAGAAGATGAGTCCTTGATGATTTTGAGCAGATGTCAGGGACCTCGAAAGCATGAAGAAAAACCCAGAGCCCTGGCCTGTTGGTGGTATAATAGGCCTTGACCAGGTCAACAAAACAGAGGTAGATCCTTAAATACACACATACACGCACACATGCATGCACGCACAAACGCATGCACGCATGCACACACACACACGCAAGCAACCATACGGATGTGTGCATCCACACACATGGACAGACAAGTGTGTGCTACCTCCAGAACTTTGGTCCTGACAGCGCCCACCATGTGCTCCAGACACTGTCCCACACTGAAGCCAGCGCCACCACTCGTGGTGTGCATAGTGACTGGCACCACCTGCGTGACATCACCACCCACTATTGACATCATCGCCATCATCGTCATTACCGTCTTCACAACCACCAACATCACCATTGTTAAAATCACTTCTACCACAACTGCCACAACCACTGTTAAAATCACTTCTACCACAACTGCCACCAAAACCATTACCTCTACTGTCACTACCATCACCTATACCACCGCCACCAGTCACACCACAAGAACCACCACCACCACTCGCAGTTTGTATAGTGACTGGAACAAAGTATTTCTCCTATCATAATCATCACCACCACTATCACCACCTCCACCAAAAGATAGAGACAAAAGGTTTCCCCTGTATAGCCTTAATGGAATTTGTGCAAGTGCTGTTAACAGGCACGTATGGCACACGAGAGGGTGGTGTGGCCACAACCACACCCACACCTACTGGACATCTGTGAAAAAGAGCTTCATAGCTCATTGGATTTGTCTACACTAAATAAAGATTTTGATTTTGATACCGAAGGTTGAGTCCACTTAAGGAAGACCCAGAACCAGTTCAGATATTTATCATTGTTGCTGGTTGTTAGTAGGAATCCAACTCAAGACACCAGATGCGAAGCGTGGTGCGCTAACCACAGTGCCACAGCTCCTCACGCACACCACCACCTCCAGTCACCCCCCTCACCTTGCCCAGGCACGAGAGCTGTGAATTCCAGAAGCGCAGGCGCCGAGATGCGGCAGCAGCAGCCGTGGAGGCGGTAGGGCCACTGGGGGCGATGAGGAGGAGGGGGGCACCCAGCAGCTTCACCTGCACACACACACACGTACACACACACACGCATGTGTACACAAACCAAAGAAAAAGGTAAAGATCCTCTCTATAGCCTGAACAGGCTGTAGGAGCAAGTGCTGTTAGCGAGCACCTATGAAGGCCGGCACAGCACACGGCGGGGTGGGTCGCCAGCACCACGCTCGACCGCCTTCATCTCCCCAGTGGCAATGTTTACACATCGCACCAGATACTCAAGTTCAAGTTAATTTATTAGGTGTAGCCCCGTGAGCCATTCGGCTCTTGAATCGGGTGCAACAGCAACAAACAAAAAACAAAAACATTAACAAAAAACATCTTAAAGTGAATATGTGACTGAGTGCAAACAGAAAATCCAAGAAAAGACAGCAAAATATTGCAGAAAAAGCACCGTACACCAACACTGTGTGCAAAAATCCCAGTGGGATGCAAGTCAAACAACAACAACCACAAGACAACTTAGATTAAGGCCATCAGTCTAACTATGTACTACAACAAACAAACATGGCCAATATTCTTAGGTTTTTTCGGTAAAGTCACGTAGGTAAAACATCAAAATTAATGAAAATAAAATAAAATAAAACAAAAATCACGACGTTTCGGAGGCAACACAAGTCTCCATCATCAGGTGGGACCGTCACAGCCGAATTAGCTGCATCAAGTGAGGCAATGATTCAAGATGTAATCCCTTATAAGCAAGTTGAAGGGGGGAGGAGAGGGGGGGGGCTCATCAGAATGTGGTAGCCAATGAATGGAAACGTATCGGGAGGGAGGGGGGCGGGGCTCAAAGACAGCACGGAGTGCTCAACACATTGGGCAGAGAGGGGGAGGGGAGGCCTGATACACATGAAAGACAAAAGAACGAAAATGCCCATGTTTATACCAATGCTGGCTGAACAATGAAGAGAGTACTGTTAACAAATAACTGGGAATGTTAACACTCGGTAAAGTAAAGTAAAATAGTACCTGTCAGATAAGATGGTCCAAAAAAGTGTAATTAAGTCTTTTTTTCGTGGTTGATAACATCTTTCCAATGATTACTAAGTTTGTACCCATCATCACGGTTGAAATTATGTCTGTGTTTGTATATTTGTATGGCTTCGTGTACAAACCTTTGATGGTAGCCGGGAGGTTTGCAGAGAACCTTGGTCTCGGAAAAGACAATTTCATGAGAGCCCACCGAGTTGTAGCAATGATCGGCAACGGCAGAAGAATCAGTTCTGCCGTGTTTCAGATCTGACTTGTGCTCGCGGACACGATCAGAAACATGACGTTTCGTTTCTCCAATGTAGTAACTGCAGCTACATACTATTAACATTCCTTTCCTTTGTTAATGCTACTCCCTGCACCCTCCCTTGGTGCTGCTGATTCTGCATAATGCATGGGCATAATATGACTTTGAAACCCCCCCGCCCACCTCCTATGCATTTTCCATGAATATGCTAAATTCCTCTTCATATGCACATTCTTTTTGTTAAGGCGCTCTTCCACCTCCAACCCAGCTTATATATAAGCTCCTAGCTTGGTAGTGTCTCATTCTTCACCTGAAGACGGATGCTTGCATTGTAGCCGAAACGTTGTGAGAATTATTTTATTTTATTATGTTTCATTTTTGTTATTTTATTACTTCCCTTCTACGTGACTTTACCGAAAGAACCAAGAAGATGAATCTCCGTTCACTACGAAGTGGTGGTGACGTCACCACGGGATTTGTGCCATGCTCGGTGTACATGTGTGCGTGTCCACACAACACACGTTTAAACACACACGTACACAAACACATGTACACACATGCACGTACTCGCACTCGCACGTGTACAGATATTGAGAAAGAAGTCCCACTGTGAGTCCCCATGTCCCCGTGTCCCCGTGTCCTCATACCAGTCAGACACAGAGACGCATCTCTGTGTCTCCGTGTCCCCGTACCGGTTTGTATTGAGACAAGAGTCCCACTGCGGGGTCCCACGGGCGCTTGAGGAGGAGGGACAGCGCCTCGGCACTCGTGGCCTCCGACTTGGTAGTGGACGGGGCGATCATGCGGTCCACCAGCGACGGGACCTGGGCGGGCAAGCACAACCATTCAACTGACGCTCCTCTCCACACCCTAGCTCACTCACTACAGTCAATCAATATGACAGCTTCGCAACACATCCTTCAACTTTACTCTCTCAACAAAGCCTTTCAACACCAACAAACATCCGTTTGCCGCAAAGTGGCCGATGACTGCCAAAGGCACCTCCATTGTTCCCTACTGTACCAACTTGTTTTGTTTTAGCCGCACGGCGCTCCGCTTGTTGTTGGGTGGGGACTGCCTCCAACTGCCCAGTAGCGTCCTTGAAGAGCCTCCTCCAGAGGCTGACAACACTGGTAGCAGTCATCAGCAAATCTACCCAGCTCAATATCCTCCTATACCCCATCAGCCCATCTCTCAACGCAGCCGATCAACACATCCTTCTGACACCGCCTCTTGACACCTCCTCTCGACACCGCCTCTCGACACAACCTCTCGACAAGCCTCTCAGCAAAAGTTAGAAAGTCCCTCAAGGCTTTCCTTGTCGTCTGCTTCCCTGTGCCGCCACTGTCACACACCTCAGAGGAGCGCCTGCTATTGCTCTGACTGCAGCAAGGCAAGGACAAGCTGCAGATGAAGATGCAATTTCTTTTGTCTTGCTGTTGTAATGTTTGTGACCCAGATCACTCTTGAAAATGAGACTATCTGGGTCTCTTGAGCTCTCATGCTGGTTAAATAAACTCAACTTGAAACTGGTTGCTCTGTGCCGAGTTAAACGTGCCTGGCGTGCAAGCAGCACCATCGGTGCGGAGGGGGGTGTGAGTGTTGCTGATATAATCTTGTCAGCACAGACCACTTTCCAGCTAGCATGCACAAAGGAAGGAACGGTGGTGAGTGTGATCGTGCCTTGGAGCGTAGCGTCTGCAGCACGTCGAGGTAGGAGGAGAGTGCTGCGACGCTCAGAGAGTCAATGAGCGTTGCATGGAGCCACTGGGTCAGCCGTGGCTCCCAGCCACAGCTCGCAAGCGCAGCGCGTACGCGGCTTGCACAACGGTCCACGGCAGCACGGCGCAGCACCGCCTCGCCACTCACCTACACACCACACGGACACACACACAGAGTACTTATGAAGGCCGGCACAGCACACGATGGGGTGGGTGGCCAGCTCCACGCCCGGCTGCCTTTGTCTCTCCGGTGGTGATGTTTGCATGCCTAGCCAGGTACTCATTTGAGGCTGAGTGGACCTAGGCGAGGCCCAGGACCGGTTCAGATAATCGTTACTGGTGTTGGCCTTGAGCGAGAATCGAACTCCGGTTGCCAGGTCCGTAGCGCAGCGTACTAACCCGCTGCACTACTGCTCCCCAACAGACACACACACAAAATATGCATATATTTATATTCGCTGTGTATATACACACGCGCACACAAGCAGATACATACGTGGGCACACGCATGGACATGTGTACACATGTACATGTGTATACAACACACACGTGTATACAACACACACGTGTATACAACACTCATGTGTATACAACACACATGTGTATACAACACACACATATATACAAATACACACGTAGATAAAGGATTTCATCTCAGCTAACAAAAATAATGAATACAAGAGACCAAGATAATGTCTCTTTTGCATGAGTGACCTGGGTCACCAAAATAACAGGCACCACACAGGGTGCACACACGCACACAACAGTAAGACAAAGATCCTCTGGATAGCTTTAACAGACTTATTGGGGCAGGTTCCGTTCGCGAGCACCTATGACGGTCGGTAAGGCACACGAGGGGGTGTGTGGCCAGCAAAACGCCTGGCTGCCTTTGTACCCCGAGTGGTGTAGACATTGCACCAGGTACTCATTTGAGGCTGAGTCGACATACGGGAGGCCCAGCACCAGTTCAGATAATCATCACTGGTATTGGCTGTAAGTGGGAATTGAACTTGGGTCACTGGGATTCGTAGCACACTACTGCTTCCACAAGCGTAAACACACACACACGTGTACACACAGGACACACGGGTACACACGGGTACACACACGTACCCCTTGGTAGGCGAGACGAGTGAGCCGATCGGCCTGCAGGGCTTTCACCACCTTCGTGAACAACTTGTTCTGGCTGATGCTCCACCCCAGCCTGTACACAACAACAACAATGGCCGCCGTTCGCCACTAAGCAGTGGTGACGTGACTACAGTGCTTTTGCCAGGCTATGCGCACTTTTAAGGCCACGTGGAGGTGTCAAAGGCCCGCTGACAGTAGGCCACGAGATAGACCGAGGTGTTACGAGGTTGACTGAGATGACGACTGGCGCACCGTCACTATGCTGTGCGTGTATCTGTGCCAAAATAGGCACACGCACAATGTGACTCCAATCCCCAAAGTTCTGCCCCTGCGCAATGTGACCTGCATGTACCACGTGATCCCTCGAAGTACAGCGTGACTCTATTGTTACAGGTGCTGCCCCCACAATACATCATGTGATATCCGAACCATGTGATGTTCTTTCTCCAGGTACCGCAACCCACCTCTCCTCATGCACCATATGACCCCCCCACTTCCGCATGAGATTTCATACCTCATGTGACCTAAATGGAGCATGTGATCCTCATTTCCCAATTACCATCCCCCCCCCAAGGAACGATGTAACTCTGCATCCCAGGTGCCATCCCCCCCATCCATGTGCCATGTGACCCCATGACCCCCACATGACCCCCGTGACCCCACCTGCTGACGCTGTCCTCCCACTCATCGGGAGGTGGGGGAGCAGCCTCGGAGTGCGAGCGAGCAAATGTCACATGACGCTGGCACTCGTTCATCACCGAGCGAGCCTTGGCAGAATCGCCCAGCGCTGCGGGGGCGAGCGGGGGCGGCTCCACGCTCTCCACGTTCACCAGCTCATCCACCACACTGAGAGATAGAGAGAGAATCATACACACAAACGCAAAGCCATATACACGCATAGAAAAATTAGCTTGTGTAACTTGGTAAAAACTCGTTTCTCTAGTCCATACTGCCAGCCACTGGTCCCAATGTTAATCTTAATATTCAGCAATTTTCTTCGATTCGTGGAACACACAGCAGATAAAAAGAAGTGCCTGCCCCCGCCAATCATCACCATTGCCTACACCCTATCCATAAGCCTCACTACACTACTTATAGCAAAGCACACTTCCAGTAGCATGAACACAAATAACGTTAACACCCTCCCTTCCATTGACACAATAGAAGCCATGTGGAGAAGCGATGGGGGGGGGGGAGGGAGAAGTATGACACTGACCAGAACATAAGCATTGGAAACTCCTCAACTTGAAAGTGTAAGAACACTGAAAAGGAGGATCAGGACATGAACAAAACTAACACACATCACTTACCTCTTCAACGAAATATGAACCCCGAAAGACTCTCCCAATGATCAAAAGGAGTGGGAAATTGTGGGGATGGCTAGGTGAGAAACCGAAGGCTGGCAGTATGGTAAACACTCTTCTCGAGAAAAAAGTGTTTACCAAGGTAGAAAACTTTATATTCATCCTATTCTGCCAAAATCTGATACCATTCAGCAACCATACCAGAGCTGGAACCTGGAGGAGGCAATGGTCACTCATTAGAAGGCCACAAACAAACCCAAAGGAAGAGTCCTGCGAAGCCAAGATGTCCTTATGTAATGCCTGACAAATGTATGCAGCGGACTGCAAGGTCACTGCCTTTCACTTGGCATCCAACAGCCATGTGAATCTGTTAGACAAGTTTCCCTTGTCTAACAGATTAATTTAAAGTGTCAAGGAGGTGTGTTAGGATCAGGGGGCCCAGGCTTCTGTAGAACTCCAATGGGAAGCCATTGGGGCCTGAGGCCTTCCCTATGGAGGAGGAACCCAAGGCCTCCAGGAGTTCAGGGAGCTCAATCGGGGCTTCCATAGCTACCCCCCAATCCGCATTAATATGGGGTAGAGGAGTCTCAAGTAGGACTTTCTCTAAGTCAGGGCTCGATGGAAGGTCTGACCAATATAGGTCCTTATAGAAGCTGCAGAACGTCTCATTAACCTCCGCTACCCTCGTCCTGAGGCGCCCATCGGCATTCTTGATCCCAGCAATGTGGTTACAAGGTTGCGTGTGCTTGACCAGCCGGGCTAAGAGCTTGGTCGTGGAGGAAGAGGGGTCGTGAAACGGAATCTTGGCCCTTAATAAAGGGGAAGGTTTGGTTATTTAACACCTTGTCTAGTTCCAGCTTAGTCTATTGACTGCCCCTTGGACCACACAAGATGAGGTTGTCTTGAATAGGCTATGTTTCTCATTCAGTTTCCCCTCCAGCTGTAGGATGGTTCTGACCCTTTCTTTCTTCCACCAGCCCCCATCTGAGATTAAAATGCTCCTGAGGGAAGCTTTAAGGATATCTCAGACCACCAGGGTGGAAGTTGGGGGGATGATCTGGAGTTTATTTCCATGAAACTAGTGACCTCGTTTCTGATTATCGTTAATAGTCCAGCATCCTGCAATAATCTGGTGTCCAGGGACCATGTTCATGGGATTCTTCAGTGGGATCCAGAATAAACTGTGTAAGAACATGATAGTGGTCAAAAAGCTATTGGTCAAGTATAACTCAGGCTCAGTGAGATGGATTTCCTGTATGAAGGCGATGTCAGCTATCTGCCTCTGGAGGAAGGACAGGGTCCTCCATCTTTTTATAGGGTGGTTAAGGCCGTTGACGACCTCACCTTCCGGCCTCACCGAGGCGTGGAGGGAAGTGTCCCCATTAGCTGGCAGTGGCATCGTGTATCAAGGGGGGAGGGATGGTCTGAGGGCCAGGGGGCTGGGCCCCGCTGTTGACTATGAGGCCCTGATCCACAAAAGCCTGAGTTTCTATGGCGGACTACAAAGTACTGACTCAGGGAGTTGGGGAGGGGGTAGAGGGGAAGGTTGGGGAGGCGGTCAAACACCGGCCCCCCAAGGGGGGAATCTCAGTGTCCTCCGGTTATAGCCATAAAGTGAGGCAATCCACCGTGACCGGTGTTGTGTGCTTTGCATTGTCCATGAGCACGATACAGTACAGAGTGTCATCGTTCAGGGGAGGAGGGAGGGGGATTGAGAAAAAAAACACATTCCGGGAAAGGACAGGGGAGGGGGATCACTACGATAGGAAAAGGCCCCCATACCAATATTAGGTCGCATAAGGTCACGTAAGCGAGGTTGAGAGTCAGGCTTGAACTTGCTGACTCTAAATGGGGCCAACAGTGGCACCCAGGGGATCATGGTCCCCAACGGTAAACAGCGTGAGTCGCGAACAGAGTGTTGCAATTGTCGGGGATGAGGCAAGGCCAAGACAACATAAGGGTTATCGGGGGATGGAGGGTGGGGGTCAAAACAAACACGCCTATAATGTTTATAGGCGTGTTCGGGGGGGAGAGCGATGGGTGGATATCACGTTGGACCCAAGGATCCACCAAGACCGCTGGAATGATGGCTCCGACGTTGAGGTCTCAGGGAAGAGAGGGGGGCCCACATGGCTGAGATGCATGAGGCGAGGGGATGACCTGCCATCCCTATCGCTTCACTCTTCGTGCTGTGCCTAGATGTGTCCCAGCAGATCATGCTCTCTCTCCTGGTATCCGAGTGGTTCCTGCAGCAGGTCCTGGATCTCCCTGTTGCTCATCGCCTCTATGGGGTTGAAGTCTAGGTGCTTCCCGTTCAGGTGGACCCTGAGCTTGGCAGGGTATAGAAGCCGTGTCCTCACCCCCGATCTCTTCCCCAGGTCCAGTGCCCACCGTTTGGAGTTTAGCTGGGTCAGGTCCGGGGAAATTAAGGCCTGGGAATCCTAGATTGGTATGTCTTGGCCTTTCATGTTCCTGGCAGTGGCAAGGATGTTGTTAGTTTCCGCTCTGTTTATCAGGTGGATGAAGGAGTGGGCGAGGTTTGGTGGCTTGTTTTGTCTCCATGTCGGCCGTGTTTTCCCTTCAACCCACTCGGAAAGCCTGCACTATAGTTTTAGGTGCCGGAGGGGGGGTGTCCTGTAGTTGGATGTTCTTGAGTGCAGCTGGGAGATGCTTCCTAACATACATGAGGGTCCCATTCCTTGCTTTGCCCTCCACCCCTTCTGGAACCCCGAATATCTTCAATTGGCTTTTCCTGTTTTTAGCCTCTAACTTATTAAAAGCCTCTTCCAGAGCCTGGAGTTGGTCTCCTCTCCTATTGTCACTCTTCACCAAATTGTTCGTCGTGACCTGCAAGGCCATGATATGCGCCTCCTGCTTCTCCACCCGTTCATTCCTCGATCGAACATTAGGGGCACCGGTGGAGTGGAGAGGGAGGAGGAGGCTCCAACTAACTGCAGTTCGGGAGGGGAGGGAGGAGTCGGGGTATAGTAAAGTGTGGCACTGCAAGGCAGGCCCTAGCCTACCCTGTTTCCTGCTCTTGCTGCTCCTTTACTGTCTAGGATGTTTAACAGGTAAAGGGAGGGTTCAATTGTCTCTTTCTAGGACCCCCTTTAATGGGTCTGACATCGAGAGTAAAAAATATATATTCGTAAAAATAAAAAGGTGCATCAAGACACTCACATGAAGTGGTTGGTGAAGAGGTAACTCAAAAGATCAGCTCACTCCGGCACGATGTCACCAGAAGTCCAAAAGACAGATTTTTAAGGTTGGAAACCTCTCGGAAGCAATAGCCATTGTTTCAAATGGAGGACACATGAGAATGTCCAACATCAATCTAAGGTCGCAAGGAACCATGGACGTTGACCGCCTCGGTCTCTCCACAGCCATGGCGCACAGGAGCCTCGACAGCACTGCCGAGGAACCCACCGGGACTCCAAGGATGTGTTCGTGAAAGGCAGAAATAGCCGACAGGCATACCTTTATGGACGCGGTCAATGAGCCGTTTTCAAATTCCACCTATTGGTGATTGGCATAAGTTGAGATTCAGCATGACAGAGCAACCTGACCTTCCTTGACAGACTGGCAGAATGCCCTACAGGGGCTGGCATAAACCATGCCCTTGGGGGCTCTCCTCATTGTCCGTGCAGTCAACTGAAAACGCCTGACATATGTGTAATGCGGGCGTAAACGACCTCCCGGAAGTTACGTCGTGGGGGGAGGAGTTACGTCACGTGGGGGAGAGGGGTCAGGTCTATAAGGGGAGAAACCGGAAGGGATAGGGGAGTGATCGGAGACTGGGAAAGTGTGAGGCCACGCAGGGCGGAGAGTGAGAGAGAGAGTGGCGAGATCGCCACACACACGGACCCCGAGGATCGGCACCGTCGGCCAACGGTGACCGACCCCGGGGCAGCAAGAGCAGCAAGGAGGCTGCAGAAAGCAGCGGGTCTGCAAGGGCGGAGTTGGGCAGCGGGGGTCTGCACGACGAGACAGCAGCGGGTCTGCTAGGAGAGAAGTGGGCTACGTGAGCGCCAGCAGCCTGGGGCTGCAGAGCGAAGAGTATATAGGGGAGTGTCGTGAGGGGGCTACGTGAGCGACAGCAGCCTGGGGCTGCAGAGCGAAGAGTATAGGGGAGTGCCGTGAGGGAAAAGAGATCGAACCCAAATAAAGGACACAGGACAGAGAAAAGCGTCCGAGTCTTTTATTACACTGGTGTCAAAAGTGTAACGGCATGGCAAAACAACTGAGAAAAAATAATATTCCGTCTCCGGCATCGGCTTCATCTTCCGACGACGATGACCTTCCTCCTGCGGTGGACCTGACTCCGGCAGAGGAGGAGATCCGTGCTGGGACGAGTGCGGGTCCGGGGGTCCAAGATGTCGCCGCGTCGGCGGACCCGTCTGCACCAAAGGACGCGGATTTAAGATGGAGTCAGATGGCGGAGCAACTTGAAACTCTCAAGAACGTACTTGCACAGTTGTGTGAGCTCGTCACGCCGAGGGCGGCGTCGGAAGGAGATGTTGGTGGTCCGCAGGAGCCCGGGTT